TGTTTCATAAATCCTTCCCTGAGGAATACTTTTTTGTGGACAGGGATGGGACAAATGTAATAGTTTTATTTTTATTTATTTATTTGATTTAAACAGTGCACGTTTAGCACATGACTCAATAGCAATTCAGTAGTGAGAGTAATGTATTTGCAGGTGCTCATCTTTATCTTTCCTTTAATATTATCCCTTACAACAGGGGTCTTCAAACTTGGCCCTTTTATGACTTGTGGACTTCAACTCCCAGAATTCCTCAGCCAGGCACATGTGCCTGGCTGAGGAATTCTGGGAGTTGAAGTCCACAAGTCATAAAAGGGCCAAGTTTGAAGACCCCTGCCTTACAGCATATGCCCCATATACTGTATCCACTAGCAGGGTGGCCTAGCGGTTAAGATGCTGGATTTGTTGACCAGAAGATTGGCAGTTTGAGACCCAAGCATCACGTGATGCGTTGAACTCCCATTCTTACCCCAGTTCCTGCCAATCTAGCAATTCAAAAGCATGCAAATAGCAATAGCACTTAGACCAGGGGTCCCCAATCCCCGGTCCTTGGACTGGTACTGGGCCGCAGCATGCCAGCAACCGGTCCGCACAAACAAGCAAAGCGGGATGCAGGCAACACACAAAACCGCGCACTCTCCGGTCCATGGAAAAACCTTTCTCCACGGAACCGGTCCCTGGTGCCCAAAAGGCTGGGGACTTCTGACTTAGATTTATATACCGTTTCACAGTGCTTTACTGCCCTTTCTAAGCAGTTTACAGTGTCAATATATCGCGCCCCCCCCCCAACAAACTGGCTCCTCATTTTACTGACCTTGGAAGGGATGGAAGGCTGAGTCAACCTTGAGCTGTTCAGAACTGAACTCCTGGAGCGAGCAGTGAGTCAGCTTGAAGGACTGCATTCTAACCTCTGCGCCACCATGGCCTAGGCCAGGGGTAGGCAACCTCGGCTCTTTTATGACTCGTGGACTTCAACTCCCAGAATTCCTGAGCCAGCATGGCTCAGTTTGGAAACTTTCCCTTTCCCCTCAGCGTGGCTGGCTCAGGAATTCTGGGAGTTGAAGTCCACGAGTCATAAAAGAACCGAGGTTGCCTACTCCTGGCCTAGGCAAGTAGATAAATAGGTAACATTTCAGTGGGAAGGTAAGAGTGTTCCATGTGCCTCGGTCTGTGGTGGTATTCAGCCAGTTCACACCAGTTCGGGCAGAACTGGTAGCTAATTTTTTGTTGCCCAGGCCCAGAACAGACTTCCGGAAGCGGCATCCACACAGAGAACCGGTTGTTCACATATTTGAATCCCACCACTGGCCTCGGTGTATAAACACGCCACACAAATGATCGTGGAAGCGTCTTTGGACAATGCTGGCTACCTCAGCTAAGAAACAGAGATGAGCATTGCCCCCTAGAATGGGACACGACTGGATAGGGAAAACCTTTACCTTTATACAGCATCCTGTCATACAGCATCACAGTCTGGTTTGGAAGCATCCCTGCTTCAGAAAGGAAGGCGGTGCAGAGAGTGGTGAGGATAGCCAAAAAGATCATTGGCAGTTCCCTCCCTTCCATCCAGGACATAGCACAGAAGCGTTGCTTGAGCAGGCTCTGTAAGATTATCTGGGACACTACACATCCTCTTCACGACCTGTTTTCCTTGTTACCTTCTGGGAAGAGGGGGCTTCGTGGTATCCGTAGCAGAACATCCAGATTCAGCCATAGTTTCATTCCTTACAGCAATAACCTTGTGAACTCTCAAGCTTCCTCCTTCCGTTATATATTCAAGATGGACAGTATTTAATATTTATTTGTTATGTATATGTAGGGGTGTGGGTCTATATACATATGTTGTATATAGTATGTTTAGGTGTGTGTCATGTATGTGTTTCACTTTGAGAGCAGGCAACTAAAGTTCTTTTTTTTTTTTAATCTGCGCCGTTGTGCCCACAGTAAAAAAAATGACAATAAAGGTTATCTTATCTTATATGCCCCACGTCTGAATGTGAAAACAAATTCAGGCTAAATCCTGAAGAGTAATCCCTTTGAACAAGAACTGTACTTGGAGCTGAGCGAGTCCTGAAATCACTAACTCGCCAACAATCGCACCAACACAGACTGTGCATGTGCCCACAAAGTTTGGATGCTTCCATTTCGGTCTTCCACTTCCTGAACCTCATATTTCTCTATCACAGAATGAGCAAATGGGATTTAAGATAATAGGCATACAGCAGATGTGATTTTTTTTTTTTAGACCTTAATGCCTTCCTAATTTGCCCTGTTTCAGATCGAGGATGGTGAGGGCTCGATGATCTTGAAACGCAGCGTCCTCGCTGAGAAAGTGGGGCGCCCCCTGCAGGACCTTGTTGGGACATCCCTTTACATCGCAGCCTCTGTCATAGAGACGGCAAGTAAGTTTGAAAAATATGAAAAGGTTTCTCCAGTTTGGTCTTTTTCCAAACGTGTTAGTTTTGCACCGGACGTCTTGAGCACATCAGATCGTGGAAGGGTACCAATAAAGGAGAAATAAAGTTGGAAAGGGGTTTCGTATCCCGCGCAAGCTGGAATCGTTCATGCTTTTCAAGGCTTTGACGGTGGGAAGGAAGAATCTTCCTTCGCGTGTGTGAAATTTATATTACTTTTCCAGCCAACACATGTGAGAATAAATGCTGTCAGGTGGTATTAGGTGAATTCACTCTTTGGGGCTTTGCAGAAGTGTATTGTCAGGGTTTACTTGATTTACTTGCTCTGTCGGAGAGGGAACAGAAAGGAAATTATTCCGTCTTCACTTCTTGGTTTAATGAAAGGAGAGCAGCGTACCAAAATGAAACATGATGGCTTCATAAGCTACTGACAAGGAGTGATCTACGAACAGGCCAGAGACTCGTTTGTCAATTGTTAAACCTTATTACTTAGGACACCTAGCCTTATTGTGGATGGAGGAGAGAACTTTGAGCTCAGTGTTAGATCTCAAGGCCTGGCTGGCCATAAACAAGAATAATAAATGTTAGTGTAGCCCATAAGCTTAAAAACAAGGAACATAACAGAATAAAAGAACAAACAGAGTTGGAAGGGTCCCTGGAGGTCTTCTAGTCCAACCCCCCCCTCCCCGCTCAAGCAGGAAACTTAAGCTGCCCCATCTCATTTTATCCTTCACAGCAGGGATTCACACCCTCTGCTAAACCATTATGTGATTTGTAATAGTGCGAATATCTGTAGCTCGAGTGTCGGATGAGGTTGAAGGTTGATTCTCCGAGCTTGTGGGCTGGTTTCCGAACATTTTGTTACCAGGCTAGGTGACATCTTCGGCAGAGTTTAGGGGATGTCTATAATAGTAATAGTAATAGTAATAGTAATAGTAATAGTAATAGTAATAATAATAATAATAATAATAATAATAATAATAATAATAATAATAATAATAATAATAAAGCAAGGGTAGTACCAATAGTAATAGGCGCCTTGGGTGCAATCCCAAAACAACTGGAGCACCACTTGAACACCATTGGCATTGACAAATTCGCCATTAGTCAATTGCAAAAGGCGGCCTTACTAGGAACTGCTTCCATCCTGCGATGATATTTGTAATACCATCTAACATCCACATCTGCCGATCCCAGGTCCTGGGTAAGGACTCGATAGGTAGACAAAATGCCAAATCCAGTCTGAACATCTGGCTGACTGTGTGATGATCCATAATCATAATAGTAGTAGTAGTAGTAGTAGTAGTAGTAGTAGTAGTAGTAGTAGTAGTAGTAGTAGTAGTAAAGTTGGAAGGGACCTTGGAAGTCATCTAGTCCATCCCCCTGCTCAGGCAGGAAACCCTATACCATTTCGGACAAATGGCTGTCCAGTCTCTTCTTAAAAACTTCCAGTGTTGGAGCATTCACCGCTTCTGGAGGCAGGTTGTTCTAACTGTCAGGAAGTTTCTCCTTAGCTCTAGATTGCTTCTCTCCTTGATTAGTTTCCATCCGTTGTCTGTGCCAGTGTTCTTCCAATGTCTACAACTAGGCTGCCGGGCACTAGCCAAAGGAAGTCGCTGTGTCTGGAGTCATTTTTGGATACCCAAAATCCAAAAATGGATTCTGTCCCTCTGGCTAGTGCCTGGCAGCTTAGTTGTGGACGTTGGAAGAACACTGACATTCCCTAAACTCCGCTGAAGATGTCACCTAGCCTGGTAACGAAACATCCAGAAACCAACCCACAAGCTCGCAGAATGAACCCTCACTCTCATTATGTGATTATATGGTTGAGAGTTGGGAGTATGGAATGAACCTGGCCACCGTGATTTATAAACTAGAGTTTGTAGCTGAGCATGACATATAAACTCCATCAATTTGGGCTTGTTTAATACACTTTGTTTAGGCCCC